TTTAAACCGCATAAACACATTTCATTACACCAAATACACCAAATAATGTTCTTTTTAGCAGCATCATATGACCCCTTTAACTTCGATTAATTCTAATTAACTGCGCACGTTTCTGTAAGCACAAATAATTGCACCTAACACCGAAATTTGTGATCATAAATACATTTTAACAATAATTCTCCAAATTAACTTTGAAACAAGACAATGTATTAAATATGTGATATTTAAAATATTTGTTTGATGACATCTTTTCACTAAGCATTACAAATGACAGCCTCGATCACCGATCCCAAAACTGAAGCCTCTATAAAATTGATTTTTGGGAGATATCAATCATTTTTGTCAGTCCTGCTTTTAATGCTAGTTAGAAGTAACGATCTTAAGTTGACTTTAATGTGATCTACATATAAATACTTGATTTGACTTGATTGATGAACACAGACAGTCACTTCTGACTTCTTGCAATACCTAACATTCGAGTTTGATATCTGGAGCAACAAAAACACAAACAAAATATATCTGAAAGACATAATATGATACGGTAATATAAAATGACTCTCGTAAATTTACTGAATTAATAAGCATGAAATTAACAAATGTGGTGCGTGTGAAAAACGTTATCTTTAGAGAGCAGAAGTGGGCAATAACTAGCATAAATAAAGGAATTTATTTCAGCATGCAAGCACACGTCAATCTAAATCACAAAAGCAATTTATTTACATTTCAAAAATCAAGCTTTAGATGCTGCAGTGGCTATTTAATGACAAGATGTCCGACCAAATTAAAATTTGTAATAAAAAATAAATAAATAAATAAATTTTTATGAACGAAGGGGCATGAAGGAATCCAAACAAGCAGAGTACTTGTCTTATGCCGAAATATTGAAGTTTAAACATTTGTGATAAGAAAGGAACAATGTTATCATTTTTACAGAAGCCACATGAGGGCTCTCTTCTTATGAAATATCAGCGCAATAAACAACTGCGATACTTATTGGCCTTAACGTCCATTTAATAGTGTTGTGTCGGGTTTATTCTCTCACCAGTGTATTGTACAAGCTTATATCTCCCTCTAGTCCAGTTTTGGTGTGGTAAAACTTCACAATTGGGACTTTTGCGGTAGTAATAGGTAGGATGTTTCTCAGGCCTAAAATGAATGGATAAATAGACATGGCAGAGGTAGAGAGAGATGGGGTGTAAAACAAAACCACTGATTTATTTGAACAACACACATTTAGAGTAAATGGAGGGCTTCTTTGTAATTTCATTAACCATTCAGAAGATTAGAGGTACGGAGAGACGACAGTGTAGAAACAATATTTGTGAGCCTGCAGCACAAAAGCAGTGTTAAGTCGCTGGGGGATATTTGTAGCAATAGCCAACAATACATTGAATGGGTCAAAATTATAGATTTTTCTTTTATGCCTAAAATCATTAGCATATTAAGTAAAGATCATGTTCCATGAAGATATTTTGTACATTTCCTACCGTAAATATATCAAAACTTAATTTTTGTTTGTTTGTAATTTTATTGTTTTGAACTTCATTTGGACAACTTTAAAGATGATTTTCTCAATATTTAGATTTTTTTTGCACCCTCAGATTCCAGATTTTCAAATAGTTGCATCTCGGCCAAATATTGTCCGACCCTTATGACTGGTTTTGTGGTCCAGGGTCACATATAGTCTTTTCCTTCCTAAAAATGTCAAAACTCCATAATAACGCTCAATTTCATTCATGAACACTGAATGAAATGAGCGCCTGCCCTCTTCAGTAGTGTAAACAACAGACAGTTTCAGAATGACTCTCAAACACTGAGACGGAGAGCTTACTGTGGTGTTTCCGCAGCGCTTTAGCCAAACTCTCGATAACAGCCATGGAGTCCAAACCCTGAGAGAGGAGCCACGCAATCAATGCAAAACTCAGGTGCAAACAGGGTCTAAAAAGAGCTTAAACATAGTTTTTTCAGTCTGTTCATCTGGCTGGGTAAGATTTTTCCACGTTTTTTAAAAGAAGTCTTATTTGCTCACCAAAGCTGCATTTATTTGATCAAAAATACAGTAAAAATAGTAAAATTGTGAAATATTTTTGCATTTTAAAATAACTCTTTTCTATGTGAATATCTGTTAAAATGTAATTTATTTCTGTGATGCGCAGCTGTATTTTCAGCATCATTCCTCCAGTCTTCAGTGTCACACGATCCTTCAGAAATCATTCTAATATGCTGCTCGAGAAACATTTCTCATTATTATCAATGCTGAAAACAGTTTGCTTCATATTTTTGTAGAAACTGCTATATACAATTTTTCAGGATTATTTATAAATAAAACAATTTATTTCCACTTGTGCCTACTTTTCTTTAAAAACAAAAAGCAAAAATCCAATTCACCCATACTAACATGCAAAAATTACTTTAGAAAATTGATTTCACATTTGGAGTGAAAGGGCTTTTACGTTTGCCAAAAATATAACTTTTTATATTAAAAACAAAGAAACAAGCCCAGCCCAGATTTAAAAAGTAGCGCAAAAGTAACGTAACGCATTACTTTCCATATAAAGTAACTAAGTAGTGTAATTAGTTACTTTTTTAGGGAGTAACGCAATATTGTAATGCATTACTTTTAAAAGTAACTTTCCCCAACACTGAAATGAAGACCTCGTATAATTGTAGAAATAAGTCACAGTACCTCTGCTGTGTCCTGGCCGTCTAGAGTCATACAGATGTCCAAGTCGCTCTGTTTAAAGCCAAACCCATTCTTGGACGAGCCAAACAAAACCAACTTGGCTCCTGTTAAAAAAAAATTAAAAAATTTTGAAAATGCTTATTGTTGCGTTCATAGAGCGAACCTTTGACTGATTGCTCACAGTTTAACACAAGTTACTCCCATAATTCACACAAAGTGTCATGGGGTGTAGGAAAAAGGTGGATAGAATTTAAATCCAATATGATACAATACATTAATATAGATGATACACAATAGACAGAATTACAATGTGCAGATATGCTATTTACAGATATGTTATTAACAGATTTGTGCAGCATTTTCACTGGACAAGGTGTTATGCAGCAATGCAGAAGAAAACATATTTCAGTGTATGACAATTGACAACACTATTTAAAGCCTTCATGTATAATGCATTATTATAAGAGCAGTTTTGATGCATTAATTGTGTCTTGTAATTCACCTTATAATGCATCGAATGATCTCATGAATAATTGTAACCACTTATCTTATTCATTGTTACACATTTAGAAAGTATAATGCATTAAAACACGACAAACAAATATTCAAATATCATACTGCATTTTAACATTAGTTACAGTTAATTATGAAAAGATATAACGCATTACAACTTACATTATGAATACCTTTATAATGCATAAAGGCTTCAAGTAAAGTGTTGCCGAATTCATTTTTCATACTTACCTGGCACTTGGCATCTCAGGAAAGTCTCGAAATCTTGTAAAATATGTTCTCTGACTTTCACCTCCACATCATCTGGTGCAAAGTCACCTAAATGAATACAACCATTTTTATGACTCACTGAAACTATATGCAAAAAGTGAAGTGCAAGCTAAATTTCAACATTTGTTAAAAACAATAACAACAACAAAAAATTGAAAAGATGAATGCACTAATGTCAAATTATATTGATCAGTTCAAATTTATTTGTATAGCACTTTTCACCATAGGACTGATAAATGGTTAAGCGCGATTATTTTGCCCAAAATTATAATCATGATTATTGATCACGATTTACATTTCATTCAAATTATTAAGCACAAATTAAGCAAATGTCAACTTGCATGGTTTAGTTGCTGATTTAGTTGTAGCCAACTGCGCATGCGACTGCGTGAAAGAAAACAGACTGGCTGTATTACACTTTTATTTGAGAAATCACTAAACTCCATCTTACATGTTCGCCGGTAGGGCTGTCGAAACGACTGAAAAACTAAATTAGAATTTTCTACTTAAATATTATCAAAATTCGAATTATAGTAGAATTTAAAAGGCATAATTTCAGTTAGGGGGAAAAAAAGCTTTTGGCTTCTCTCCTGAGGCCACAAGAGGGCGCATCGCGCAAAATATTATGCATGTTTCTTCAAAGCGTAATAAAATAACACGACTATCTTTGGAAAAAAAAGTGCATAATGTTTAAAATAATGTTTATAAACCATATATAATTAATAAAGTTGCTTAAACAATGGGAAGAAAAAAACAGCACCATGCATGTATGTATAGTTTAACACAAAGGACCGAAAACCAATCACAAAGAGTCGGCTACTTTCTTCATTAAAAACATGAGATACAGCGGGATGGGGAAAAACCGCCATAAAGTCTTGAGACATGTTTTTTAAAAGTTGAACTTACATTAATTTTACATGGCTTTCTAAACATGCGGCTCTCTTGTGCGAGATGCGAGTGCGACGCTGATAGATGTCCCTCTAGAAAATGTGATAAATATGTGTTCTGTGTGAACGGCTTGGTTTCAGTTCCGCCGTAAACAACATCTTCGCCACACTGATGCTCTCGTTTTCCGCAATATATTGAATGAACAACGTAGCAGCGCCGCATCTAGTGGGTTCAACTGGATAGGCTAACAAAAGCATTCAAATGCAATGACACTTACATCGTCATCGCATTTCATGCGCCACTGATAGGCTGCCTGACGGCTGATGCAGATCTAAAATTGTGGATTTCTTTTTTAATTCGACGAATATTCGAAATTCGAAAAATATTTTGACAGCCCTATTCGCTGGTAATGCTTTTTCCGTAATGCAGAGAGCGTGCGCGCATGGTTGCCAGGTTAGGAAGATTAAGTAAACCACTGGGCAGAATATTTATTGATTTATGAGAAAAGCTCTGATTGGGGGATTTAACCTCTTGACATCTGGCAACCGCAACCATGAACGCTTGTGGAGGCTTGTTAGCAATACAAGATAATGTCCAATAAAAATGAAATGTTTTCAGGATAAATAACCAGAGGCCACTTACTGGAGGTTTTAGTTTCATATTGAGAGATTAATTTTTTCCCCCCAATCATTTCATATTTCAATATTCCTTTTTCTTTTAAAAAATATATATGTGACCCTGGATCACAAAACCAGTCATAAGGGTCAATTTTTTTAAATTGAGATGTATACATCATCTGAAAGCTGAATAAATAGTTTTCCATTGGTGTATGGTTTGTTAGGATCGCACAATATTTGGCCGAGATACAACTATTTGAAAATCTGGAATCTGAGGGTGCAAAAAAAATCTAAATATTGAGAAAATCATCTTTAAAGTTGTCCAAATGAAGTTCTTAGCAATGCATATTACTAATCAAAAATGAAGTTTTGATATATTTACGGTAGGAAATTTACAAAATATCTTCATGGAACATGATCTTTACTTAATATCCTAATGATTTTTAGCATAAAAGAAAAATCAATAATTGTGACCCATACAATGTATTGTTGCCTATTGCTACAAATATCCCCCAGCGACTTAACACCTCTTTTGTGCTCCAGGGTCACATATATGCAATACTGAATTAACATATTTCTTTCTAAAGCTACTTTTTGTAAGGTCTACACAATGCTTTTCTCATCAAACAAAATGATCTTTTGGGGGTAAGTTCTCAGTCAAAATTTATTTGATTTATTATTGATTCAATTAATTAATTAATCGGTACATCATGTAATTCATTAGATTACAAAACGTAATCACCTTAATTACAATATAATACATATGTCTACAGACATCCATGATGTTCTTCATTCTCTGGTTTAGTTCACAAAAATAACAACTAAAAAGGAATGCCTGGAAAATCGTGTTTTGCTCAATATACTGACAGCGTACTTACGGTAGCATTGCTCACAGACTTCATTGAGGATCTGGAGGAAGTCTAGAGTCATAAGTGGAAGGGGTTCAAGCTCCATTCGTTTGAAGTCCTCGGGACAGTCCTGTTTCGAATGCCCATCGCTCTTACAAAGGCTGCATATCAGAACGGGGGACTAACAGAGACAATGAAGGTTAGTCTGTCACTATGATCCACATTAAACTAGACAGAGAGAAGATGTGCTGGAATTGCTGATGCAGGAAGTTGTTAAACGTCAAAATTATGAATAAATGTCAACAGAAATATTTTATATTTGAGACCCTGGAACACAAAACCAGTCATAAGGGTCAATTGTTCGAATTGAGATTTATGCATAATCTGAAAGCTGAATAAATACGTTTTGTTAGGATCGGACAATATTTGGCTGAGATGCAACTATTTGAAAATCTGGAATCTGAGGGTGCAAAAAAAATCTAAATATTGAGAAAATCACATTTAAAGTTGTCCAAATTAAGTTCTTAGCGATGCATATTACTAATCAAAAATTAAGTTTTGATATATTTACAGTAGGGAATTTACAAAATATCTTCATGGAACATGATCTTTACTTAATATCCTAATGATTTTTGGCATAAAAGAAAAATCTATAATTTTGACCCATACAATGTATTGTTGGCTATTGCTACAAATATACCCCAGCGACCTAAGAAACTTTCTCAACAATTGCTCAACAAGAGCCTTTTACTTTTTACTAATTGCATGACTGGATGGATTCACACAGACATGCAAACTGAAGCTCAGTAGCATTTTTACCTTGCCATTACTGAAGAACCGCTTGCTGAAGACATACTGAAATCCTTCAGGAGCCGTCGGAGAAGATTCGGATTTGGTAAGCTCAGCTTTGGGTTTATTTAGGACAGACGCTGCTTCCTCAGACCCCCCATCATCACTCATCTCCCGCTCGAACGGGAAGATCTCATCGCCCCAATGATCACATCCAGACCCTTCATCTTCCTCATCTTCACCCTATAAATGTTCATTTGTTATTTGTCTGTCTATTTTAACTCTTTCTCCACTATTTTACAAGGCAATTTAGCTGAAATTACACGGCAATTATTTTATTATTTTAACTGGAAAACATCCAACTTCCTTAAAACAAGACAAATTTACCCAAGCAGCTCATGCATGAAAAAAAATTCAAGGGGATCATATCATGAGGAATACATTTTTTCTTGACTATTATAATTTTGCTTGACTTTTCTGGACTGTTCAGGGCCTTCTCCAGGTCCAAAGAATAAAAGTTAAAATTTTTGCCAACCAATAAGTGTTATTTTACTATTATTTATGTACTATTATAGTATTTCTGAATATTTTGAATATTTCATTTTCATTTATAAGCTTTAGTAATTTTGCCATGTGCTTTTGTCTTTTTTAAATATTTCTATTTAGCATTACTTTATTTTACATTTATTTTTGGCTTCAATTTTATTTGTTAGTTGGCAAGTTAAGTTTTTCATCTAGTGTGAAATAAATCTTCTAATATTCAATCTAATTTTATTTTACTTTAGCTTTATTTAAATTAACAAAACTGGTTTAGTTAACAATAACAACACTGCACCCATATTGGTTTTTTTTTTCACGATCAATGCATTCCCGCTCATCGCACACCTAAGTGTTTCTGTCTGTCTGTGTCTGTGTGTGTGTGTCTGTCTGTCTGTGTGTGTCTGTGTCTGTGTGTGTGTGTCTGTCTGTCTGTGCGAGTGTGTGTGTCTGTCTGTGCGTCTGTCTGTGTGTGTGTGTGTGTGTGTGTCTGTCTGTCTGTCTGTGTGTGTCTGTCTATGTGTGTGTGTGTGTCTGTCTATGTGTGTGTGTGTGTGTGTGTCTGTCTGTCTGTGCGTGTGTGTCTGTCTGTGCGTGTGTGTGTGTGTATGTCTGTCTGTGCGAGTGTGTGTGTCTGTCTGTGCGTCTGTCTGTGTGTGTGTGTGTCTGTCTGTCTGTCTCTGTCTGTCTGTCTGTCTCTGTCTGTCTGTCTGTCTCTGTCTGTCTGTCTGTCTCTGTCTGTCTGTCTGTCTGTCTGTGCGTGTGTGTCTGTCTGTGCGTGTGTCTGTCTGTGCGTGTGTGTGTGTGTATGTCTGTCTGTCTGTGTGTCTGTCTCTGTCTGTCTGTCTGTCTGTGCGTGTCTGTGTGTGTGTGTCTGTCAGTCTGTGTGTGTGTGTGCTCCTCGTCCCGCTCCAGCTCAATCACGCAGTCCGAGTCTTCCAGCTCTTCTGCGCTCTGCGGACTGGACCTCACACGGGACCTGTTCAAACCCTCCGCTGCCACTCTCGGGCTTCTCTTCACTGAATCAACATGATTCGCAGCTCTCACAGATTTGCCAGACTGACTGCTTGAACTGACCTTCCCTGCTGGGCTTTTTGAAGGAGAAGCGAAGTACTTGTAAGTTGTTTTGAGGCAATGCACCAAATACTCAAACATCATCTGACTACTCAACATCCGGGCCACGTTCCTCTGGATGGCGAATGGATCTGAGAAGAAAACAAAGATCTGTTTCATATCTAGACATATAAAAATAACTAGCTCACATGATGCGATGCACACCTTCTATTGCAATCCTCTTTTTGGGCCAGTCTTTCAGATCACGCCATAGGTCACCGTTTGTGCGCACGCTAATGACTTTCTCAGGTATTTGAAATTCCAGTGAATAATATCGTAATAGCTCGATCCACAGCTTCCCTAGCAGCACAGAAGGACTGCGGCCATTGAAAACCAGCGGACACTATTGAAGAAAGCACAAATCACAACTCTTTGTTCAAATACTTTTCGGCCCGACCTCAAAGTTGTCTTCAAATCAAACGCTGTGACGTACAGATCACGAATAAGAGGCTCACCTTTCCCTTCTTGACAGCTTTATCTTGGGACGAGTCGCTTGAGGTTTGATCATATACCCAAAGCACATGTCCTTTTTCAACTCCAGTTAAGGAGAAACTCTTCAGTTTACTCACGTGCAAACCCTAAAACAGAACACAACATCAGTCTCTGCAGCTTAAAATTAGCTGTTAATTAACTCAGATGTAAGTGACTTTTTTATTCAGTAAAACAGTAAAGAAGATTTTTATTAAGTCAGCAGCTTTTGAAAATAAAAAAGCATATCAGGCAACACAAAATGAATACTCCTGATGATACATTGAGTTCTTATGAAGCGAAACAATCAGTCGGTGCAAGAAACCGAACATTATTTACAACATTATTACCTGTATATTTACACAATTACATTATTAAAGCACCCAATAATGATGTGAAACGTGGATGTTTTGCACGTCTACAGCATATAAAGTGAATAAACTAATCTTAATCAACAATGAGAAACCATAAAAACTTTAATTTCACCCCTTCATTCAAGCTCTGGATTACAAGTAATAATGTTGTAAATAATGTGCAGTTTCTTGCACAGACTGATCGTTTCGCTTCACAAGGCATCAATATATCGTCAGGAGCCTCTGGTATTAATTTTGTGTTATCTGATATGCTTTTTTGACTCTCAAAGTGACAGTCGCTGCTGACTTGCACTTTATGAATCCCCAAGGACCACGGTTTCAGCGAATCTTCGATGCCTGAGGGTGAGTGAATTATCAGCAAATTTCATTTTTGGGTGAACTATCCCTTCAAGTTTTGCCTCTCATTGGTGTAAATCCCATATTGTTGTTTATTACAAGGCTCTCTGAAATACTTGCATGTAATTGGTCAACTGCAGTATTCTGTTAATGATTGTACAGATCATTAAACTGTAACAATTACAATTTAATTTCAGCTTCAATTGTAATTTTCTCATATTTATTCACTGATTCGGCGAGTAGACGTGTAGTAAGTGTGTTAATTACTTCATTAGCGTCTTGGTCCTAATCACCGTGTCAGGGTTGTGTTTTGCTATAATGGCCATCTGACTAGTGGTCGACCGATATATCGGCCGATATTTGGCATTTCTCAAATATCGGCCGATAAGTTTTTCTGTTTTTGCCGATGTGTTCGAGGTGAGGCTTTTATTTTGACGGCGCTGAGAGCAGCACACAGTGTTCACATTCTCCCTCTGGTTCGCCGTTCGTCGTTAACAGTTCTGTCTAATACGGATAGAAGTCTGTCTAATAATCCGATAGAACTGTTAAACAAAGGAATTAAAATGTATATAAAAAGTATTATAACGATAGCTTTTATATTATTAGTAATAGAAAGGCAAACATTATAATACTTTCTCGTTTGCCGTCAGCATTCAGCAAATATGCATTTATATAATTTAATAAATTTGCACAAACCTTGCAAACTTAGTCAAATCCAGTTGTGAGATCTTGTGAAGTGTGCATGTGACCTGCATGATCGCGTGTTCTCTGCCTGACTTTCGGTCCGTGCAAATTGAATGCTTTAAACATTAAATTCGTGATTTCAAATTATGCTGCGCTTTATGCATTTGCCCACTGTCATATTCATGTCATTTTCACTGTGTGCTGTATGAAAATGAGTTTTACCTTGGCTTTATTTGAAAAAATATGATTCCCAATGCACACAAACTTCCCAGAATACTGAGTGCTCTGTTGGTTACAGCTTACTTCCTTTTTAATTCTATTTTTTATTAAATATGTATTTATTTGTGGAAAATGCTTTGTCATCTAAAGTACAAGTATGTTTATTTTACAAATGTATTTTTAATCCATTTTCAAAAGATTTCAAATTTCTTAAATATTAATTAAAATAAATACAATTATATCGGCTTTATATCGGCCACCCTGCTTTCCAAGATATCAGCATCGGCTGTCAAAAAACCAATACCCACTACATCTGACTGCACATTATCTCATGCTACCTCTTCATAAGGTTCCAGATGCAATAATCAGGCATTGGTCCTATAAACTTTTATCAACGGTTGCATTAATGTTGAATCACACACCACAGATTCTAGGTATGAAGGTAAGACAGGTTCTTTGCATCGCTGCAGGAAGCTGATGACCATGAGGGCAAAGCAGTAGGATGGAAGTCCACCTTCTTCCATCTGGTCAACACAACAGATCTAATTCACACACACATACACATAAATATCACATATCACAAATGTTAAGAAATAAAGAAAACCTAATGAGACAATTTTTTTACCCTACATACATACTATCTTCTGAATTAAATGGCAGTCTCACCTTAGCCCAGTATCTAAAGCATACGACCAGCGGGACGAGTTGTGGTTCTAGATTCGCCAGCTCAGTCAAATATGCTGTTGTCAAGCATGCACTTTCATTGCCTGCGCTGACTTTGCAGATCAGACCACTTTGGAGATAAAAAAAAAAAAAAAAAGTAAATACATATTGTGTGTGTAAGATGTTTTAATGTTTTTTAAATACATTTCTTATTCTTACCAAGGATGCATTTAATCAAAAATATAGTAAAAACTGTAATATTATGAAATATTATTACAATTTAAAATAACTGTTTTCTATGATATATATATATATAATGATGATCAAAGTTGAATTTTCAGCATCATTACTCGTCTTCAGTGTCACATAATCCTTCAGAAATCATTCTAATATGCTGATTTGCTGCTCAAAAACATTTATTATTATTATTAATATTTAAAACAGTTGAGTACATTTTTTCTAGGATTCTTTGATGAATAGAAAGTTCAGAAGAACAGCATTTATCTGAAATAGAAATATTTTGTAACATTATAAATGCCTTTATCATCACTTTTGATCAATTTAAAGCATCCTTGCTAAATAAAAGTATTAATTTCTATAATTTCTTAACCAAAAAAAAAAAAAAAGTATACTGACTCCAAGCTTTTGAATGCTATAGTGTATAATGCTACAAAAGCTTTTTATTTCAGACAAATGCTGATCTTCGGATCTTTCTATTCATCAAAGAATCCTGGAAAAAATGTACTCAACTGTTTTAAATATTAATAATAATAATAAATGTTTTTGAGCAGCAAATCAGCATATTAGAATGATTTCTGAAGGATCATGTGATACTGAAGACTGGGGCTGTGTATCACAGCAAAGTCACGGTACGATACATATCACGATACAGGACTGCACTGAATTTCACCAAAGCAGAATTGAAAAAAACAGCTGTTTATTAAACACTGCTTACTATAGTGCCAGAGCAGGCAGCTGAGCTCTGCATTATGAAGGGCCTCCAGAACTGTACCACAGCACAATACAGGTAATGGCATATGTTTCATGTTTACATTGGGCACTCCCCACCAGGTACAATATTCTGATTGTTTGCATCTTGTTTTTAAGCCCATAAATAATAATGTACTCGTTCTAATAAATTTATATTGTAATGTACTCATTCTAATATATTTAAAAAATAATTTACATTGTTGGTAGGTTATCATTGCACAAATTAACACACTCTCTACAATAAAAAAAAAAAATCTTCACTGTATCTCACGCACACACACACACACACACACACACACACACACACACGCTCAAGGCTGATTTCGCTTAGGTGCACGCGGCAGGACTTTCTGCGCAGCTCCGCTTCCGAAGATGCACGAGTTCAGAGCGACTCTAGCCGAACCTGCACGTCTGTGGCAGCATTTGTGTGAAACAGAAGCAGTTTGATGTTAAGTGCAGTCTCACACACACACACAGATCACGTTGCGGCCGCACTCAGACATTCAGGAACAAACGTTTTAGCTCTGCCCTGCAGTTTTATCAACTAAATAGCTTAATCGCTCTAGAGCTACATTATCTTTCTCAACAAGGAGCTGGTAACATCATTGTTTCTAAAGGAATTAAAGCCACAGCTTTACTGTTAATAGAGAAACGCTGCAAAACGGTGGTAATTCACACATACAGCCTCTCTCTCTCTCTCTCTCTCTCTCTCTCTCTCTCTCTCTCTGTCGTAAATGAACAGTTGATGAATTACACTTTTCTGAGAATAGAGTATTGAAGTGGAGATAGCTAAACTGCAAGCTAGCCGGTGTTTTCAGAAAGCAAGCGTGTTTATCCACAGTGGAGAGAGCGCGTGAGCACAGGGTTGCCAGGTTGACAAAGATAAGTAGCACGTTTAGCAGATATTTCTGTATTGCGCAAGTGTGAAGCTCTGTTTCGGGGATTACGTCTCTTTATATCAGGCAACCCAGTTGTGTTCCTCTGCGGCCAGATTAAACCTTGTTGTAGCCTATATATGCTCCATTCATTATTTTTTTAGAAACCTCGCACTTTTCTACTCAATTTTAAACGTTGTACAATTTTAAACAAATTAAGAGCGGTTCACTCATGCACATGTGCCACAATATCGATACAGGGCCAGCTGTATCGATACTCGTATCGTCAAATCTCTGTGACGATACATCGTCGTACCGATATTTTGAACACAGCACTACTGAAGACTGGAGTAATGATGCAGATATATTCAGCTTTGAAATCACAGAAATAAATTATACTTTACAATATATTCACATAGAAAGCAGTTATTTTAAATAGTAAAAATATTTCACAATATTACTGCTCTTGCTGTATTTTGGATCAAATAAATGCAGGCTTGGTGAGCAGAAGAGACGAATTAAAAAAAACTTTAAAAATCTTACTGTTCAAAAACTTCTGACTGGTAGTGTACATGTCTTTACTGTCACTTTTGATCAATTTAATTAATGTATGCTTGTTGAATAAAAGTATTAATTTCCTTAAAAATATAAAAATACCTTACTGACCCCCATCATTTAAATGGCAAACTATACACATACATTAGAAGCATGCAACTTCATATATACACTTTGCAAAAGAACAATAAGCAAGGAAACACAGACCTTGATTTCTCTTTGCACACGACTACAGGCATCCTCCTGTGGAAGTCTCCCTCCACACTGACAAAAAGAGCTGCGAAAATTAAAATAAAAATGTCAGAAAATTTAAATTTCATTCTGTATTGGCGGTGCTTTATTGTAAATGCTTATAAAGTATGCTAAATAGTATAAATGTATGATATTACAATCCTACTGCTTATCAGCATAGGGGGAAAAAACTCTATAGCCTGCTCTTTTTTCACCACAGCCAATGAAAGCACTGTTCCTTACTAATGTACCTGAGGAGTCTATGCTTTTTTCACTTTACTATTCCCCACTGATTTTCAACCTTTCAACTCACCGCTTTTAGAGAGATGCTCTTGAGCCACAAGCAGAACATCAGGATGCTGGAACTGATGAGAGATGATTTTTTTTCTTAATTACAAAACTTCACAATTGTGTATTTTTGTAAAACATGCGACCAAACATTCTCAAAAAGTGGACAACATTTGGTGTTTGACGAAAGGAATCTGATTAAAGGCTTTCAAATACATATGTGACCCTGGACCACAAAACCAGTCATAAGGGTCAAATTTTTTTAAATTGAGATGTATGCATCATCTGAAAGCTGAATAAATGAGCTCTCCATTGATGTATGGTTTGTTAGGATAGCACAATATTTGGTCGAGATACAACTATTTGAATATCTGGAATCTGATGGTGCAAAAAAATCGAAATATTGAGAAAATCATCTTTAAAGTTGTCCAAATGAAGCTCTTAGCAATGCATATTACTAATCAAAAATTAAGCTTTGATATATTTATGGTAGGAAATGTACAAAATATCTTCAAGGAACATGATCTTTACTTAATATCCTAATGATTTTTGGCATAAAAGAAAAAACGATAATTGTGGCCCATACAATGTATTGTTGGCTATTGCTACAAATATCCCCCAGCGACTTAACACTGCTTTTGTGCTCCAGAGTCACTTATGCCATAGTTCATGTGTTTGCTATCAAAGTATAAACACAGCTTATCCAAACGTCAGTGATAATTAGCCGTCTATCAGTGGTTTGAGCCAATAGTACCTCACCTTCTGAGAGGCATACCCTTAATAATTTATATATTACTTTGTGATGCCTATAATGACTTAATGAAATAAGGAAACTGATGAAATAAAAATGACCCATTTAAATGTTAATATAAAGCCAGAATAAGATGTATTAAAAGAATATTTCCTTTCTACTCACATGTGATGGAAACTTCACATCAATGTTTACATCAGAGTCTTTGAAGCCAAATCTTGTGCAGGACGATCCGTATAACCTGAACTTGCAATCTGCAGGGGAAGCGTGAACACAAATGCATTGAGGAGGCATCAAATAAAGCAGCATTGAATTTACCGCTGTGCTGTCACACACCTGGAAGGACAGGCTGAAGGACTTTCTCAACGAGAGTGAGGATGTTGTGCCGTCGTTTCATATCCGGATCGTTTAAACCGAACTCAGCGACCACACTTTCCAGAGCCGAGCTGAGCGAATGACACTGGGCTTTTCCAGGAGGAGGGATCTTGGCTATTGCTACAAATATCCCCCAGCGACTTAACACTGCTTTTGTGCTCCAGAGTCACTTATGCCATAGTTCATGTGTTTGCTATCAAAGTATAAACACAGCTTATCCAAACGTCAGTGATAATTAGCCGTCTATCAGTGGTTTGAGCCAATAGTACCTCACCTTCTGAGAGGCATACCCTTAATAATTTATATATTACTTTGTGATGCCTATAATGACTTAATGAAATAAGGAAACTGATGAAATAAAAATGACCCATTTAAATGTTAATATAAAGCCAGAATAAGATGTATTAAAAGAATATTTCCTTTCTACTCACATGTGATGGAAACTTCACATCAATGTTTACATCAGAGTCTTTGAAGCCAAATCTTGTGCAGGACGATCCGTATAACCTGAACTTGCAATCTGCAGGGGAAGCGTGAACACAAATGCATTGAGGAGGCATCAAATAAAGCAGCATTGAATTTACCGCTGTGCTGTCACACACCTGGAAGGACAGGCTGAAGGACTTTCTCAACGAGAGTGAGGATGTTCTGCCGTCGTTTCATATCCGGATCGTTTAAACCGAACTCAGCGACCACACTTTCCAGAGCCGAGCTGAGCGAATGACACTGGGCTTTTCCAGGAGGAGGGATCTTCAACAGCAGCGTCAGCTTCTGCAGCTCCTGTGAAGAGGAGACACACTTCAACCATAAACCACAGGCTCAGATGTTTGAGCCTAACACTTTCATCATGATTCCTTGCCTTGGCTTTCTTCCTGTGGGCTCTTTCTCGGATGTGACTGAGCGCTGGTGACATGTCATCACAGTACACCTTACACTTATCACATCTGAACTTCAGGCTCATGCTTGACTGAGAAAAACACAAAGAAAGAAACCAAATCAGATTATGTGAAGAAATAAGATCAATGTACACTACTTCTCAGAAGACTTTTTTTGTGAACGGAATTCATTCTTTTATATTTTATACGCATTAAACTGATCAAAAGTGACAGTAAAACCATTCCATCAAGATTTTCATTTTTAAAATGTCACTTCTGGCCAAAATACGAATCCATAATCCATAATAACGCTTCCAAAGACTGCTGTCCTGTTGTCTCTCACATCAAAATCCACCCACATGTTTGTTTAAAGCGGTTTTGGCTTGTAAACGGCGCTTGATCTGTGCAGATTTCTCTCCGGATTCAGATGAGATGACATTTTCCCTTGAGAAAGCAATATTATGGATAGTGGACTCGTATTTTAGCTGGAAGCAATTAAAAACATCATAATGATGGATTTGTTTCTTACAAACACGCAACTTTTGTCTTCACAAGATGTTTAACTGATGGACTGGAGAGGTGTGGATTGTTTGAGTCACTTATCAAGAGTTGCTAAAAGTAGCCAAATAACATTTAAAATAGCTACATTTGTTGCTAGGTGCTTTAGGAGGAAAACGTCGCTAGGGTAGTCTGAAAAGTTGCTACATTTAGCAACAAAATTGCTAAGTTGGCAACACTGCCGGTCATATAAAAACCACTCGCTGGATTATTACAATTACTGCTAAAATGAATGTTTGGACATGTATTTCCTTCTGACACACTACAGCTAGAGACAGAAACAACTGGCTTAAACCCATTTTAGTTGAAGAAAATACTAATGGCCTAAGATTTTCCACAGCACTGTGTATATATAAGTCTCAAAGCATAGCTGAAATCCCCATTATGCACACATTTTCGACTGTGCCAGTGAGAAGCATTGCTATGCATCACAGAAACATACAGTATTTCTCCGGATTCTGACCCAAACTCACTCGCTTCGGTCAAATCATCGCACGAGCTCCTCTTGTCTGAGACGAGTAAGAGCATAAAAATACACCCCCCGGCTTTTAATCGAGCCTGAATAACGTGCGAGTTTAATACTCTGCGTTTTAAGTGACAAACGATCTTAAAAATCGCTGTTAATTTCTCAGACGGTGTGGAGAGCTGTTTGCATCCTGCACTTCCGGGTCCCACGTGACGTCACAGTCTCCTCGGGATTTAAAGCGGCAGTGCTTATTTTCCCCGCTTAAAGAATCCCTTTATAACATTAAACCTCGTTTCTTTTATCTCTAAACTTAATTTCCGATCCGCGGATCTTGCATTTCGCTGAAACACGCTGCATACTCGCAGAACCAGGGTTGCCAGATCACGACCAATTAAACTAAACAATACCAAAATTCAAAGACGCCCCTCTCAAAACCTAAAATACGTGTTTTGTGCAGTTATCCAACATTTTAAAAGTAAACCAACCTTGCTCTTTTTGTGGTTTTGTTGAGGAAACAGCTGCCCAGTTGTTTTTTGATTGTGGGGTTACCAACAAATTATGGGTTGCCTTGAGCACCTATGTTTCTAACCTTACAAATGTGTCCCATACCTTCGTCCTCGAAGATGTTATCTTTTATTATGAAAATCCAAAGCTATTATCTGTTGAATATGTTGTTAATTTTCTTATATTGAATGCAAAATTCTTCATTCATAAGCAAAAATGGGTTAAAGCTCCCATCTTTCTTGTTGAATTGGACTCTGTTTACTTACTAATAACAAAAAGAGTGCCAAACTTTTGATGCATTATGACAACTTTTCTAAAAGAACATAAGTTTATTTTTGCACTTTTATGTATCGATAATTAATTTGACATGCAAATACAGAATATTTGTTTTCTCTTTATTTTTATAATTGCTTTTTGTTGGAATAGATTCAGGTCTCGCTAAAAAAAAAAAAAAAAAAAAAAGTAAACCAATGCTGCAGGAAAACCTCAGACCTGGCAACACAAGACAGAATGGAGGCTTAGGTAAAACTTGTTTGAAATCAAGAGAAAATGGTAATACTACGCTCCAAAAATGAACAAATACTTGCATATGTCGACACATACTTGTACCAATTTCCATAATGCATGTTTATTTTATCTTCAAAATATCAGCCGTTTTCAGGAATAAACACTGCAGTGATTTTAGTAGCGTTTTGTGTGCTTGTATCACAGTATTCGATCCATTCAGCTACTAATAACACACGTTTACATTAGTAAAACATGGAATGTTTTGGGAAAACAATTCAAATACAATTTTACAAGCATTACGGCACACCACAATTCAAATAAAAGGGTCAGTAAAAAAAAAACAACAACAACAAAAACAAGTTAGGCAACAATGACAACCATTTGCTTGAGAATTACAATGTAAGAGAACATTACATACAAGAAATGCAGCCAATCTGTTAGTGTCACTCCAGTTTAAAGGTGCAAGTAAAAACTACTACTTGCAAAAAAGGCTTTTAAGCTAACGGTGATTCTTAAGGAATTCCTCCATGTATGCGGCGAGAGCCTTCACATCTTCAACAGTCACGGCATTGTACAGGGAAGCCCGGATGCCACCCACTGACCTGAAAATACACCGTGAAGCAATCATGAGGCAGGATACAGAACCGAATGACTGTATAATGTGCTTTGCTTCTTTTTTTTAATATTTTTTCATGTTTTAGGACACACTGAAATGACAGCAAGCACGTGGTTACTGAAACATAACATTATATTCATTTTGACTAATTAGATATTTTAATTTCTTCTCAACTGATTAGACATATTTAGCTTAACCAAGTCAAAAACTGTCTTGGCAAATGATTAACATCGAAACATTTCCTTCTGAAAACGCCAAATCCTGTTTGAAACTGCAACTCAAATTAAGACGGAATCGAATTTGAAAAGTCATCATCTATACATTTCGGAGTGGCGCATAACTGTGTATAAGACTAAATCGCATTTTATCACTGAATTTGATCAACCGAAAATGAAAATGTGCTGAAAATGTGCTCACCCTCAGGCCATCCAAAATGTAGATGAGTTTGTTTCTTCATCAGATTTGGAGAAATGTAGCATTGCATCACTTGCTCACCAATGGATGTGAATGGGTGCCGTCAGAATGAGCGTCCAAACAGCTGATAAAAACATCCACAAGTAATCCACACCACTCCAGTGCATCAGTTAATGACTTGAGAAGAGAAAAGCTGCACGTTTGTAAGAAGCAAATCCATCAAGACAAGCAAGAGTTATTATAGACTGAAGTTAAAATGCCTTAATAATGGATTTGTTTAGAAACACGCAGCTTTTGGCTTCTCAAGACATTAACTGATGGACTGGAGTGGTGTGGATTACTGTGATGTTTTTATCAGCTGTTTGGACTCTCATTCTGACGGCACCCATTCACTCCATTGGTGAGCAAGTGATACAATGTTACATTTCTCCAAATCTGCTCCCATGAAGAAATACTGACGTCGAATGAGGGCGAGTACATTTTCAGCACATTTTCATTTTTGGGTGAACTGCTGCATCGCACGGATTTATCCGTAAACTTCTTTGTCCATTTAAATTATGCATGAATCAGTAGTTATTCAGTGTAGATGGTGCAACATTACTCCTCCATGAAAGCAAATGACAATGTTTGTCAAACTATGCAAACACCGTGACGTAACATTTTCCTCATTTTCATACAACACCTGTGTCCTTTAAGCGAGATCATGCCAAGTTTCGAAGCCCCATCCAGGAATGCCTTCTCAAGACTTTCATCTCCTTCCTTCTTTCCGATGCGGAACGGAACGTTCATGCGGCTTCGACACGCCTCGTCAACGGGGCATCTGCAAGAGAACGTACGGTGCGAGAAGTCGTTTTGACAAAAACTAAAGTCTGATGAGAGAGCATAATGTGGACACATACTGCATTAGTTAATTATTCATATTTATTATAACTAACTGTTTTTAAAATATATATTAACTATTAAATAGTGATTAAAAATGAAAGTTGAATGCTTAATATTGTACAATAGGAATAACCTTCTGTATGAGAAGATTATATTCTATCTGTAAAATGGTGATCCAAGTGTTTGGATGTGATTAGGACAGAATCACTGACGAGTAGAATCCACTGGAGTGGTTGATCTTGTCATAGATGATGTTGGATTTCTGTTCGTTTAGTCGTTCCATGGCATCCGCTCCTCCGTTGTTCTTGATCCACTCCAGAACCAAAGCCATGATATAAATGCTGCAAGAAGAACAAGCATGTGCAAGTCATAGTTACAAAACGGTTCATATTTTGAGCAAATGTTGAGGTTCAAAAGAAAAAAAAAACAGGTGAACACTGAATCATAAAAAAATTTAAAAAATGGAAAATAAGTTTCTTCCTCATTTAGGATCTACAAACAAGGCTGTGTGTTTCTGTAATTATATCAAGTTGAAGATATTTCAGATAAGATGTGAACAAAGCCATAAAAACATCATTAAAAATCTCAGATGTGATTAGGACAGAATCACTGACGAGTAGAATCCACTGGAGTGGTTGATCTGGTCATAGATGATGTTGGATTTCTGTTCGTTTAGTCGTTCCATGGCATCCGCTCCTCCGTTGTTCTTGATCCACTCCAGAACCAAAGCCATGATGTAAATGCTGCAAGAAGAACAAGCATGTGCAAGTCATAGTTACAAAACGGTTCATATTTTGAGCAAATGTTGAGGTTCAAAAGAAAAAAAAAACAGGTGAACACTGAATCATAAAAAAATGTAAAAAATGGAAAATAAGTTTCTTCCTCATTTAGGATCTACAAACAAGGCTGTGTGTTTCTGTAATTATATCAAGTTGAAGATATTTCAGATAAGATGTGAACAAAGCCATAAAAACAATTTAAAATCTGACTGGATGCCATTAAAACTGTTGTAAAAAAAATGTGCAATACGCAGATGGATATCGACTATTTAACTAAATTCAAAATTAGAGTTGCTATTTTTCTTGGACACAGTTATAAATAGCCTAAAGTTAGGCTTGCACAAAAATATCGGGCAGCACAACTGTTTCCAACATTGATAATCAGAAATGTTTCTTGAGCGGCAAACCAGCATATTATACTGATTTCTGAAGACTGGCGTTATGATGCTGAAAATTCAGCTTTGATCACAGAAATTAATTATATTTTACTATATACACACACATAGAAAACAGTTCATTTAAATTGTAATAATAGTTCACAATATTACAGTTTTTACTGCATTTTTGAACAAATAAATGCAGCCTTGGTGAGCAGAAGAGACTTCTTTCAAAAACGTTTTTAAAGAAGTCAAAAATCCACTGCTGCTTGTTTGGGAAGCTTTTCTATAGCTACCAAGAAATGGCAAGCTGATAACTATGCATGTAATTTAAACGAAGTCTACAGCGAGACAGTATGATGACCAAAGGAAAGCCGTACCTGAAGCACGGAGGAGTGTTGTAGAGCGAGTTATTGCCAGCCTGCACCTGATAATCCAGTATAACAGGACACTCTTTCAGGGCCTTGCCCATCAAATCCTCTCTGACGATGACAACCGTCACACCCGCACAGCCCACATTCTTCTGCGCGCCGGCAAATATCAGACCAAACTGTAGAAACACACAGAGACTCACAGCATTAACAAAAGGACCTTTTGATACATGTGAAAAACTACTGGGACGAGCGTTTATGAGACGATAATGAACTTGAAGAAGCATCACCAACCTTCGACACATCCACCGGTCTGGAGAGGAAGTTAGACGACATGTCGCTGACCAGAAGCACTCCTTTAGTGTCCGGGATGAAGTTAAACTCTACGCCGTGCACCGTCTCATTGCAGCAGTAGTACACGTAAGATGCTGAAGGATTCAGCGACCAAGTGCTACTGTCTGGGATTTCTGTGAAAATAAAGTTCAATCATGTGAGGATCGTTCAAGTCAAATGAGTGCGTTTTATTTTTATTAAATGTGCACTTGAAGTATACGTCATCGTAGGTTATTTTTAAACTGTACTTGCTGATAATATGTGACCCCTGGACCACAAAACCAGTCATAAGGGTACATTTTGTGAAATTGAGATTTATGCATCATCTGAAAGCTGAATAAATAAGTTTGCGTTGATGTATGGTTTGTTAGGATCGCACAATATTTGGCCGAGATACAACTATTTGAAAATCTGGAATCTGAGGGTGCAAAAAATTTTCAAATATTGAGAAAATCATCTTTAAAGTTGTCCAAATGAAGTTCTTAGCAATGCATATTACTAATCAAACATTAAGTTTTGATATATTTACAGTAGGAGATTTACAAAATATCTTCATGGAGCATGATCTTAATATCCTAATGATTTTTGGCATAAAAGAAAAATGTATAATTGTGACCCATACAGTGTATTGTTGGCTATTGCTACAAATATACACCAGCGACTCAACACTGCTTTTGTGCTCCAGGCTCGCATATAATATTAATGAAATAAAATGCCACTTAGATGTACTTTCTTGGCTATGTTTCTTAACGCACTTAAGTAGACTTTTAAAAAGTGCACTTTGCAATAATGTAAAATTAAAAGCTTTCTTCTTTCGGTTTTAATAACCTTCGGTCATGCTAGAAGTGCATTTATTTTGATGTGTTGACTAGTAGTAGTATATATTTATTTAATGCCATGTCAGCATCAAAGGCTATTTTCATGGCAAAAACAGTTTAAAAAATACAAGTATAACAAATACAATAAAACCCAGCAAACAAACAAACACAAGTTATATCACACAAGATTTTTTACATTAACGTGATTAAAAATTCTAAAACTTTTCCTGGCAAAATTGTACTTTAAGTGAGTTCACTTCATAAAAGAGTTTTCTCTGTACATTAAAAGCTGGACAGTCCAATAAAATGTGTTTAACAGAAAGGGGAACCTTGCAAAACATACACCGAGTACGGTCTTCACCTTCAAGCAAAAATGCATGAGTTATGTGCGGACTAAAAGTTAACATATTTTAAATATACTAAATTGCAACTTTATCATTACAAAATGCGCAATTACGAATATATCTAAATGCATGTCATATAAGTTGCAACAGAAATGACATTAAAGTATATTTTAGTTGACCATAAATGCTTGTCAGTGCATTCAGCAGTACACTTTATATTTCATATTTCAAAGACAATAAAAGCAATTCTGAAATTACATTTGAAGATGTACTTAAGTGAGTCATCTATTGCATTTAATTTAGATTTAAACTAATATAATTGCAATTAGCATGCATTTAAGCTCCTGAAAGCATGACATTCAGTTCACACTTAAGTATACTCTTTCAAAGCATATTGTTTTCATACTAAGCACTCTTATTTAAAGTATGCCAATGCGTCACAAGAGACACACCAATTATTTTGGAAAGAACGTAAATATACAGAATAGATTAAACATATTTCAGAAGACTACAAACCGTGTTTTTATAAAGATCTTCTTGTTCTCTCAGCATTGCAAAAATATAGCTCACTATACTGTGATTACTCACTGGTGTAGCGATCCAGTTTTGGATGAATCACGTTCACTTTTCCATACTTCTCTGCCTCTTTGGCTGCCTTTGCAGACCAGGTCCCCGTGACCAGATAATCGGCACACCTGTCCTCCTTCAGACCAATCAGATTGAGAGGAATCCCGCTGAACTGTCCCGAGCCTCCGCCTTGCAGGAACAGTATCTTATAGTTTTCAGGTACATTCCTGTTCAAAGTGAACAACACAGATTATACATCTGTTATGGAACATGCACGAAGACATTAATCTCCGATTGAGGGACAGATGTAAAGACTCACAGAAGTTCACGGAGAAGGTTTTCAGTACTGTTTATGATCTTGGAGAAATCAGACGATCTGTGGCTCATTTCTGGTTGCAAAAGAGAAATAAATGCCTCAAAAACATGGCACTACACATACAAACGTGTGTATTAAAAATGTAGATCCTTACCAAGAATGCTTATCCCAGTGCCACTGTAATCCAGCAGCTCCTTCTGTGCTTGGAGTAAAACCTGAGAATAGAATAATATCCATTCAATAGCTAATTTCTAATAATAGTTTTTTTTTTGGCATCCAAAACAGGTTTGGCTTTGCCTGTACACCCCTAAACAGAAGGTCTTTAGAACTGGCTTTTAAAGGACTAGTTCACTCAAAAATGTTGCGAGGACTACAGATGGACTTTTTCACTGAAGCGTTATTATGGATTATGGACTAATTGATAGTTTGGCCAGAAGTGACCGTTTAGAAGTTAAAACGCCTCGATGCATCTCACCCTCATTCAACGTGTAGATGCGTGTATTTCTTCACGGGAACACATTTGGAGAAATGTAGCATTGCATCAGTGTCTCAGCAACGGATGCTCTGCAGTGAATGGGTGCCGTCAGTCCAAACAGCTGATAAAAACATCACAGTATTCCACAGCACTCCAGTGCATCAGCTAACAGCTTGCGGAGCCAAAAGCTGCGTGTTTCTAAACAAATCCATTATTAAGGCATTTTAACTGCAGTCCATAATCTATAATAACACTTCCTTGTATTTTGGCAACGGTTTGAAGTTAAAAACATCTTAATGATGGATTTGTTTCTTACAAACACGCAGCTTTTGTCTTCTCCAGATGTTAACTGGATGCTCTGCAGTGAATGGGTGCCGTCAGTCCAAACAGCTGATAAAAACATCACAGTATTCCACAGCACTCCAGTGCATCAGCTAACATCTTGCGGAGCCAAAAGCTGCGTGTCTCAAAACAAATCCATTATTAAGGCATTTTAACTGCAGTCCATAATCTATAATAACACTTCCTTGTATTTTGGCAACGGTTTGAAGTTAAAAACATCTTAATGATGGATTTGTTTCTTACAATTTTTATTTCTCTCTCTGTAGGATCCTTTGTAGTTTCGGACCTTATTTATATATTTGTGTTTGTTTTCATTTCACTTTTATTTTATTATTTTACTCATATTAGGCCTGTGTTTATTTTTCCCCCTTTTTTATTTCTGTGAGTTAATATTTAGATGTATTTCTTTTCTGTAAAGTGCTTTGTTGGACCAAACATAATGAAAAACAAATCCATTATTAAGGCATTTTAACTGCAGTCCATAATCTATAATAACACTTCCTTGTATTTTGGCAACGGTTTGAAGTTAAAAACATCTTAATGATGGATTTGTTTCTTACAAACACGCAGCTTTTGTCTTCTCCAGATGTTAACTGATGGACTGGAGTGGTGTGGATTATTGTGATGTTTTTATCAGCTGTTTGGACTCTCATTCTGACGGCACCCATTCACTGCAGAGGAGATATTGCTGAGCAAGTGATGCAATTTCTCCAAATCTGATGAAAAAACAAACTCATCTACATCTTGGATGGCCCGAGGGCAATTTAATGTTCAGCAAATTTTCCTTTTTTTGGGGTGAACTTTCTTTAAATGAAATTCCTTCTATTATCCTAGATAAAAGGATGGAAATGCTAAACACGACTTCGCCCATGCAATCAGTAGCAATCATTTACAACAGCCAGCACTGGAGAGAAACAACTAAAACCCTGAAACAACCAACAACACTCAGAATTAGCGAGAAATGGCATGCCACTAATAATGTGAATGTTGCACATGTTTCATAACAAATCAGAACATGTTCAATTTAAATCTGCAAGCTTGGCTCGGCTTGTAAATGTGCTCTGACCCGATCTGAATGTATATGAAGTGTGTTTGTCATTTGAAATGTTCTCCTGTACTGATTTGCAGATCTAGAGTTCAGTCAACAGGCGAAGGCTGACGCAACATCGCACATGCATCTAGACCATAAGCACGTGTTTTTGTTTTTTTTCTTCATGCATCCAAATAACGCAGAACGATTTGATCACAATATATGTTTGCATGCACAGTGGTTTGTAAATGATAGATAGATGATGTAATCTGATATGATTTACGCTTCTCTATGACGCATAAACAAATGTTTAAAAAAAATACAATCAACTTTTAGTGTGCAATAATGAATAATCCTAAATATCCAACATTTTTTAGGGATGCACTCACCGGCTGAGGAAGTTTAGCTGGTCCAGCTCCAAAATTAATGGTCTGTTTGTGCTCCATGCTTTGAAATAAAGCTCTCTGGGATGGAATATAAATCTTTCTGAAACTCTTCCACTTGACCTGCTTTTCTGTAAGTGCTTTGGACTGGCACTATTATTCTCTTTACACATGATTACACCTAATGTGCGAGTTTCCTGCTGGTTTTCATTGGCTCACGGGTTCCGGAACGTCTGCTTGCGGCTGTTTCCACATACTGTACATTATTGTTGCTCCTCTATGCCCCGCCTTTCTGAAACGCGTCAATTTTTACAAAGCTCATCGGTCTTTTGGAAGACCAAACAAAGTAGTTTCGCTTTCACAACGAAGCACACAGCGTCTTCACGACATGGCGGCGGCGGCAACAATACTACAGCGAGAATAAAAGTTACGCCTTCTTTCTTTGCGTGAACATTTGGGCGGCGTTCTGCAAATCTTCTCACATAGTGAGGTAGATATGTGGGGGCGTGTTAGAACGAGGCGTTTTAGGGGGGCGTGGTTGACTCTTAACTTTTATAAAGAATATCTCTTTGGGTTTGAGACTTTAGTCTTTGCAACTTTAGGGATCTTATCTATTCACGAACAGCTTGTAACACTCCAAAGAGAAAGGAAAACTTGAAATATTTTTTATTCTTTAATTTTATTTTATGCTTATTTAAGTCTACATTTATTTGTTGTTATGTGTATTTATTCCCACTTGTATTTGTTTATACATTTATTTTTCATTATTTATTCTTATATCTCTGTCTCTTTTGTGTATGTATATTTATTTTCCTATTGCTACATTTATTAATGAATTCATTAATTATTCATTTCTGCAAGTTTGGTCCTCCATATATAAACATGAACACTGTTGCTATATAAATAATACCTCAGTTACTTACCTAATGAAATCAGAGCCGTATATAATAATGTTGGATTGTTTCAGCAGGTGGCAGTATTTAGCAGAGAATTAGAGCAGGATTACATTTGTACAAATTTCTCTTCCTGATCTCCACATGGGCAGTTATAATCAATCTGTAATCCAGATACTGAGGGGTTTTCTGTGGCACATTTCTTCACAGGTTTGTCTAAAAAGCTAATCTGCAAACAGCTCAACATCAGTCAGTCTGAAACCAACCACCCCAAAATATCAACACCTAATACATTTTTATTAAAATGTATGTCATACATTTTCAACAGCATTTAATGTGGAAAGATTATGTACACACATGCATATAAAATGCTCTCGGAAATGAAAGTAATACTTCATTAAAGTCATTCTGTCATGGGACAAATGTGAGCCAAACTAAAAGGGGAAAGCAATGCAACATGTCATTTATGACACCGTATAGCCAATGAACTTTTTAACCATTTTTAACCAATGACTTTTCCAGCTGTTTGTAATTACTGAACAAGGACTTTGCACTCCAGTTTCTAGTCAAAAACATATTTTAAAACAAAGCATAACTGGAAAATGTTCCCAACTATAGAAATTCCCACAGACATGTTAAAGGGATAGTTCACCCAAATATGAAAACACCGTCATCATTTACTCACCCTCATGTCGCTTGAAACCTACAAGACTTTTTGTTCACCTTTAAAAGTTCGATGAAGATCATGATTCTAATGAAACCTGCGAGATTTCTGTCCTTTTACTGAAAGGCCACACAACCAAAACCCTGATGACTCAAATTCATAAAGACATTGTAAAAGTCATTCATATGAGGTTTGTTCTGCGTTTCACACAAGCACATTTGAGCATACATTGGATGTGCGTTGATCAATGTGTATATATGAGAATAAAAGCCTAAATTAAATCTACTGATCGTGTCTCTTATGAAAGCTTGGATTGCTGGATTTCTTGTACGATGCCTTTATGAACTTTTTGAATCGTCAGAGTTTCGGCTGCGTGGACTTTCAATGGAGCGACAGAAATATCTCAGGTTACTTGAAAATATCTCCATCCCGTGTTTCAAAGCTAAACAAAAGTTTTGTGGGTTTGGAACGACATGAGGCTAAAAGAGTAAGAATGATGAAGGAATATTACTTTGGGGGTGAAACCATCCCTTTAAGAGGTCATCCATTTCATTTCATAACTTTTCCAAACCTGAAAATCACAATTTCTAAATATTCCCCTTATATTTCCAGCTTTCCCATGACCTCATTTTAAGCTAAATGCTTATTCGTGATTCATTGATACTATCTTGACAGGTTCGTATGAGTCTTTTCCTTATTCCTTATTCTTTAATAATAATATCTATTGAGAAGTATTGGGTAACACTTTATTTCGATAGTCCACTTTAGACATTCTATTAACAGTAAGTAACTTTGCAACTACATGTCAACTAGCAGTTAGTAAAGTATTAGTAGACTGTCTGCTTAATATCTTCTAACACTTTCTTTGTCAACTTATTCTACTAACCCTAAACCTACCCTAAGTCTACTCTGAGAGTTAGTAGACATGTAGTTACAAATTAATGAGAATTAGTTTACATGTAGTTACAAAGTTACTTATAGTTAATAGAATGTCTAAAGTGGACTATCGAAATAAAGTGTAACCGAGCATTGTTTATGAAGGATAAATGATTTGTTTCATGCTCCTTCAGCAGTAATTGATACCTGCAATGCTAACCACTATGTGTGGGTGGGTTCAGCACATTTTTGTTTTGTTTTTGTTTTTTTGGATGGAAAGCAGCAGCATTGTCCTCTCAGATCCTGTTTCAGAGCTATTTCCCTCTAGCCGTAATCTCCCTTCGGTCTTTCCCTTTTCGACAGTTCAGCAGTGCGTCGTGATCTGAAAGTCTCGATCATTGCATGTCATTGCAAAAGCTATATTGTAGAGGCTGGATGATGAAACGGTTTCTTGAAGTGGGTTTCTCAGCTAAACTAGCAGCAGGTGCAGCATCTGAAATCTCATAACAAAACCAAAGTAGAAGAGAAAAAAAACATTCAGCTCCCTTTTCAGCAGAGCGTCCTTATCTGCCATCTGGTGCTGGTTATACAACAGCAAAACAAACGCTTCTGCAGTGGCTGTTTTCATCAAGACCAAACGTCACGCATGACAGACCACACTAATACTTTGCTTGCTTCAGTCTTCAGTTAGTGTGTGCTGTACTTGCTCAATGTGTAGAGCATGATGCTCGCAACAGCCAAGTCATGGGTTTGATCCCTCGGTCGCTTTGGTTTAAAGTATCGTCCCAATGCATTACAGGGATTCTTGCGTGTCTTTCTGTCAGACAAAATTGGTGAGCGATGCAGCAGAGCGCAAAGCGGCGTAGTTTGGTTTCTGGGAGCGCAGCAGGGGAGTCTGGGTGTTGGCGTCCCGTACGGTGCTGCTGCCGCTGCTGAGAGAGCGAAAGTGCTGCTGCGTCCAGCCGTAAACCAGGCAGTTCAACAGACCCTGAGAGGCAGAGGTGAAGGCCTGTCGAGAAGACGAACAGGAACATGTTACAGTAGGCATGCAGGGGTAATGTGATTAGTTTACTAGTAGTTTTTATGTATTCTGGCGAACCTGTAGGATGTAGAGAACGACTCCCATCCTTCCCTCTATTATGTCCGGTTTCACCAACATCATAGTGGCCAGAAATATTGCTGAAATAAAGAAGAGATCACAAAAAAAAACATAGAATGAAGATGCTGGAGAGAGAGTGTTTAGCTGTGGATTTATTTCACTCAAAAAAGAGTTCATTGCAATTCACTATTTGAATTTATTAACAAGCTATTATTAAGATTGATGTATTTGAATTGCATATAAAATTTCTATTCATTTTGATTACACAGTTTTAACATAAACTTAATGTGATTCATATTTGTCAGTCATACATAAATGAAATAATATGAAGCAGGTAGGGTTTCTGTAATAGTACTAATGAACTGCATGTTTTAAATACACAATATCTAGGTTTATATAGTTATCATTTGTTTGTTTCAATCTCACACATTTTAATTAATTAAATATCGCTTGTTCCACAACTAGCCATATTTTAATCTTGTTCATACTTTTTAACTGAATCCATTTATTCGTCTTCATAACGAACAGATTAATGCTGATTCTCAGCAATTTGAATAAATACATCTTAAAAATATTAAGATTTCTTTCTGGTTCTCAAATCTGATTGGCTGAGAGCCTTTGCCAGGCATGCATTATTCTAGTGATAACAGTTTCATCATTTGTATCACTCCGCGTGCGGTATTTCTCACAGCGAGTGTCATAGCGGACGCCCAAATCCACTATCATTTTATAAATAATATTATGTTGTATAATATATATGTTTTGTGTCACAGAATGTGGTTTTAAGAGTTTTTTAGGCGAGAATGTAGTTGTTTAGACTTTAAAAATGCGGTTTGTTAACAAAGATAATGACTATTTGAAAATTTGCTTTGACGTTTTCGGAGATGTGAGCTCCAGGGCGTCAGCAGCCGTTCAGCGCTATTATATTTTAAACATGAGATATCATTTGTTTTGGGTAAATCTAACGGGGCAGTCTTTGATCTCAATAATCTATTATTTGTTCCAGAGCAAACAGCTTTGGCTGAGAGCAAAGTCTCATAACTTTATATTTTTTATAACTTTAATGCAGTGTATCAGAGCGCTGCCTTTGTACTTTTGACTGAATTGCCAAGCAACTTTTATGATGGCTGTTGTTGTTTAATATTTTATATAAATAATAGTAGTATTTAGTATTGAGAAACGGTGTGCATGCGCTTGTGTTTGTGATTGTGATTAGTTATATTCTTCCCTATTTTATATAACATCAGCGCTGCCTTTGTACTTTTGACTGAATTGCCAAGCAACTTTTATGATGGCTGTTGTTGTTTATTAAATATAATTATTCAATAAATAATATTTTATATAAATAATAGTAGTATTTAGTATTGAGAAACGGTGTGCGTGCGCTTGTGTTTGTGATTGTGATTAGTTATATTCTTCCGCCATTAGACGGCGACAAGTTTTTCTGAGTGAGTCCGCAGTAAAGACTTTTATATAAAATAACATAAAAATGTTAACATAAAAATAAAACAAAATAAAAATTCATTTAAATTGCAATGTTAATTTGCAATATAATTTTTTTATTATATTTGTTAATTTAATTATCATTATTATTATTTTCATAATAGTAATATTTAGTATTGGGAAACAGTCTGTGTGTTCGTGATGGTGATTTTAGTGACATTATTCCACGGTTAGGTGCGACAAGAGACAAGTTTTTCTGAGTGAGTCCGCAGTAAAGACTTTTATATTGAAAGAAACTGAAACAGGGTTGTAAACAAGGAAGTTTTTTTTACTTCCAACAACAGCTTGTGATGCAGCCAACAAATGCAGTGAGCAGCGCTGTCATCGGAAATCACCCATAACAGATGAAAGGACAGTACAACAAAGATATCGCTTTCCTCAGCGGAGATTCAGACTAATGTTTTATTGTGAATATGAGATTGAGCTGAAGAATGAATGCTGTATCAGATGCAGGTAATCACATTCGCTCAGTCCATCGCTCTCTTATAATACTCAGTGAGCTTTTAATACAGTAATATAATAAGCTTTCAATGAAGCAACTCAACGTTCCTTCGTTACTAGTTCTAAAGTGACGTTTTTTAATTAGTTACGGATCTTGAGCTCAGCTGTTAAACTGTCAAACTGAGATTTGATTCCGTGGTGGAAGGAAGTAGTTCTGTCCAAAAGAGGGTTTTTAAAGATTTTAAAATAAAATAAAAATAATAAAAAATACAATTATTTACACACTCGTGTCGTCGAACTGTTGTATAAATGCAATATCACACTCGTAGCCGTGCGATATGGCTGTATATCAGCACGCTGTGATTACCTACGGCCATATCGCACGGCTATTCGTGTGATATTGCTCATTTAAATAAATTCAGATAGACGGAAGTAGTTAATAATTAACTATTCCAGGAATTTTTAAGTACAGAAATCTTACCGTTTCATTTATGATTCATATACGTAATGCATCACATTAACTTTATTCGTTTGTTTATGCTAAAACTGTGTAATCCAAATGGATGGAAAATTTATATGCAATTCAAATGCATAAATCTTAAATGTAGGCCCAAGTTTTTTTGGAGTGTTATGCATGTGCAGGGGTTGTTACTACAATAAAATAATAAATTGTAATTAAACTCAAGATAGTAAACATACTGATATATATGGTTAAGGGAAACGAGGAAAGGTTCCTCATCGGCTGCTTTAGCACCTCAGTAACATTATATATATGTTTTAACTTTTTTAATGTTTTAATGTTTTCAAAAGTGTGCTGACCTGGTCCCCAGCAGAAGAAGAAGGCTGAGGGATAAAGCAGCATACGCCGTTCCAGGAGACGCAGAGTTTCCCAATGATTGTCGGCGAAAAACCCTTGTGACGTGATGATACGCTTGTACAGGGAGCGAGCTTTACACATGAGAGTCTGAAATTAAAACGAGGATTACAATTAGATTATGATCGAGTCACACAGTCTGGAGAATCATATATCTTTAGCCTAATGTTCACTTACGCTACTGTTCAAAATTTTGGGGTCAGTAAGTCTTTTTTGAAAGAAATTAATACAATAAGCTGAACAAATGGCAGTAGAGACATTTTAAAGATATTCAAATAAATGCTGAAAATAAACATTAAAACTGATTTTTTCCCCCCCCCCATATTTTTGTGGAATCCCAGTTTCCACAAAAATATTGGGCATTACAAAAGTTTTCAGCATTGATAATAATCAGAAATGCTTCTTAAGCAGCAGATCAGCATATTATACTGATTTCTGAAGATCATGTGACACTGAAGACTGGAGGAATGATGCTGAAAATACAGCTGTGCATCACAGGAATAAATTACATTTTAATAATATTTCACAATATTACTGTTGAAACGTTTGAACAGTAGTGTGCATTTAAATCATAACTAGCTCAGGTATTCAAAAATGAGCTCAAGACATGTTAAATGTTAAAGAGGGCTCACGGTGATGCCGATGAAGGTGATAAGGAAGGTCGTAAGGAATATGGTCATGCAGTAGTCTTGAATGACACGACATGCTGTCATTTCTGTATTTACAGATGAGGTGAGATACACAGCGCCTGTATGCATCAGCAAACATCTGGAAGACAATCACATCTGGATTAGCATCATCTTAAACAACGTATTCAAACAACTAAACTATGCTACTGAATGCAATACGTCCTAATAACAACAGGGTTAATTCAAATTAGAAGCTGTGATGAAGTTATGATGACTAAGTAATGAGAAAGTACAGTTTATTAATCATTTGCTGTGCATGTGTGCATGGATTTCGACGGACCTGTAGGGCTGGGTGAAGTTTGTGTAACACCGAAACACATTTCCTGCCACAAAGACGGGCGCTGTGAGCATTAAAGGCAAAAGACTGTATGGAGAGATCAGGACAGAGAGTCAGACGACCAAACGACATTCTGTTCTTCAAATCTGCTCATTTTCAACTTTATTTTGCATGGTATTTACCCAAAATAGTATGCAGGATTACAGGTAATGGGTTTATCATAGTTTATTGTAAAGAATATTCCAAAACGCAGCTTGGTTGTGTACTATTTCTGGATTTTTGATGCATAAAATTTAAATGAATGAGGGAACTATCTGCTAATTTTCCCATGCTAAACAGTACATGGTGACAAGGATGCAGCTCTTGTCTCATGTTTGTGTCAAGCTTGGGAGAAGAGAAGAGGTGAGTCATTTTAGTATCTTTGCTATATTATTATCGTTTTTGAAAATATTTTGAATTTGATTTGATTTTTAGATTTTCTGTTTTCGCTTTAATTTTATTCAAAGCTTTAGTAATTATGTTTTTTTTAATTTTTTTTATTAGTTTTAGTTATTTTAGTACTTAAAGTGAAACTAGACGAAAATGATGCCTTGGCAACTAGCTGAAATAAAATATGTTTTTAAAATTGTATTTTATTTCAGTTAACATTTGTTTGAAAAGTTTTGGTTTTGGTTTTAGTTAATGATGATAATCCTAAAGGGAACTGCAGTGATAGAAATATATAGTGTTAGAAATTCCAATGATGAATTCATTTAAATAAACAATTTGAAATAAAGGGTAAAATTGTTTTAAGAGGTTACAAAATACAAAAAAATTTATAAAAAAAAGTGAAACTGCCGAAGTGGTCATTTTGATTAAGCACCCAAAGGTTTTACAAAATAACTTGGTGGTAAATTGTGCCATGTTTTGTCTACATCTACACTAGAGTCGCCCTGAAGGCCTTTTACCCCAGACTGAGGGGCTTTTACTGTAAATGATGTTGTTTCATCAATATTTAATATCAGTTTGAGTGATATTTTGTATCATTTATGTTCTTACAATGACAGGACAGGACCGAGACACCTGCAGCTTCTTGTGTTTGCTGGATTCTGAAATAAACAAGCCAGTCAGCATTGCCAGTGTTTACATGCAGACTATCGCATGCTGCTTTATTACCGTCATATAAACCTGTTCATAAGGGTGAGTTGATTACCTCGCCTGGGAAGCCATTGAGTCTCCTGTACTTCCCCATCAGTCCGGTGTAGAGCACCCAAACATAGTGCAGCGTGTAGAAGAACGAGGCCATGTAAAGCGTCTGTAGGATGTGAAAGTCAAAGGGAGAAGTTAAGATGGTTTAAGATATTTCAGTTATAGTTCACATTCACATCCACATTCAAACCATGTTTGGCGCAGTACTGTAAGCCACATCTCTTGCATTAATATGTGATTGCAGTGCTTTCCAACTCTGACCCTGAGTTCCTCAACACAGCACCACTTGTTTCTCTCTTCTCAAACACTTGATCTCAAATGGGTGTGTGAGATGAGAGAGACATGCAAATGTGTGCAGTCTGGCTTCCCCGTGTGCAAAAGAAGTACACTTCAGCATACTTTTCAGAATAAGAAGAGTGCTTAATATGGAAGAAATCTACTTAGAAGAATATACTTAAGTATTCAAAAAATGCAAACTAGTGAATTGAACCAGTTCATTGAAACGAAGTGTCTGAAAGAACCAGTTTGTGCCTGAGGCTCTGGATTATGTTGTAAATAATGTGCATTTTCTTGCACAGACTGATCATTTCGCTTCATAAGAACTCAATATATCGTCAGGAGCCACGGGGATTAATTCTGTGTTCAATTATATGCCTTTTATTCCTAGAAACGGACAGCTGCTGACTTGCATTATATGAATCACTATGGATCACGGTTTCAGCAAAAAAAAAATTCTTTACTGTAGAAGAAGAAAGTCACCTACATCTTGGATAAGCTTGAGGGTGGGTAAATTAACAGCAATTATGAGTAAACTATCCCAATTTAAGCACATCTTTAAATGCAGTTTCATAATTATACATTTTTTCTTTGAAATATGGTTAAAGTGTACCGCTGAATGTACTGACAAGCATTTATGGTAAACTAAAATATACCTTAACGTCATTTATATTGCAACTTTTAAGTCATGTATTTTAACATATTTGTAATTACCCATTTAATGATGAAGTTGCAATTTAGTACATTTAAAATCTACTCACTTTAAATGTAATATCAAATAACCCACAAGAGTTAAAATTATAAGCAAGTTCTCTACATGTGCTTTAGTATGTTAGTCAACACATTAAAATAAGTCTATTTCTTTAAAGCACAACAAAATATTACTACAACATAATGGTTTAAAATGCACTTTTGCATTTTAAACAATTACAAAGTGCACATTTTGAAAATGCATCTAAGTGTGTTAAGAAACCAAAGTATCTCTGTTTGTCACTTAAGTGGCCTTTTATTTCATTAATATTATATTATAGGCAAGTACAGTTTTTTAATATATATATATATATATATATATGAGATTTGAAGTTCGATACAAGTGCACATTCAATATCATTAAGCTGCAAATCCGTTTCAGCAGGACCAGGGTTGGAAAACACTTTTTTACAGCATCTTTGTTGACATTCATGTCAAAGAGCTGAATGACATTCCAGGATTGAGAAACCTCTGTATGGTAAAGATAGCATATCTTTCTTCTAGAAATGCCAACATGGTTTTCCTTTCTGCTTTGCTTTGAGCACAGGTGAGTGCAACAGGAGGATAGCTGTTAGTTATATTTGATCAGGGTGTGTATTGCCTGATTTTAACAATCATAAAACTATGTACACAATTTGCTCTATTTAACAAATGCACAATGAAATACGTCAGCGGGCTAAAGTAGAGCACTGCGTCATATCCACTGCAATACTGCAATAACACTGCGAGTGAAGTACACTGCGATCATGCAAAGGCCAATTGATGCCGATAAGCTACAAAAATGACAAAACAGCACCATAAAAATACTATAAAACCCGTTCATACAATAGACAGCAAAAGAGGTTTGCAGAACTGTCATTTTTGGGAGAACTATGGTTTGCTCACTTGTACTCGCTTTAGCTGATCTTACACTGCTGAATGCTATGACAATTTAGTTTTTAGTATGATTCTGTTGTCCTAGATGAATACCAGAGAACTGTTATAACGCATTATTAAAATGACATTAAGGTTAGGTTATTCAAATGATTTAATAATTTTTTTTTTTTTTAATTGCAATTGTTTTTATTGCAATAAATTGATTCCATTCATCAGATTAAATAAAAATTCTGTCAGAATGTGATTTGAATTGTTGGATACAGTCAAGAAGGAGAGACCAGCCAAAATCACCGCAGCTTTAAAGTTTGGGTTAGGTTAGTTTTAGGAAAGCATATCTAATAATAAATCTAATAAAGAGGATTTGTGAGGGTAATGTCTTACAAGTCTTGAGAAACCAAACCAATGAAAAACTACAGACTGAACTTTGGCTCTACACATTACATTAGAGCCATGACAATCCACTGTTATAAACGAGCATGTGCAGACATTAAAAGTGGGTCAGAACTAATTATATCTGGGCAAAGAATATGAATCAAATTTGCTGCTCCACTTCCTTTTCAGACTCGTCCCAGTTCCATGTTTGTTTTGCACTGGTTTTAATGTCTGAGCTGAGAACAACTTGTTTTTGACGTGAAACTGCCCAAGCACACATGATTTTCCAACAATTTTTTTAGCTAAATGCCAAACAAGCAGGCTTCAGTAATGAGAGACACATGTTTAGGCCTGCAGTGCATCGGCAGGAATGAAGCACAGGGTTAAAATGGTCCCTCCCTCATTTGTGTTTCTTTCTTTTTTAGCACGTACACTTTAAATGGCAAACAACAAATTATTGGCTAAAGATTTTCCATTTTTCTGCAATCACATAATTTTTTTTAAAAGGTCATTGTATCACCTGGTAGTATCAAATGGAATAATTACAATGTTCGTGTGCCATTGCATTCACCCCAGGGTACTTAAAAATATCACGGTACTTGTCCAAGAAACCATATTATTACCATGGAACCATGTCCAAAAAACATGGTAGCATGGCATTACTTTTTCTCGATATTAAAAAATACCAGTCTGTTAAAAACATTTATTTAATTAAAAGTGATAGAGACAATGAATGACTTGTTAAACATTTGAAAAGAATGCTCATCTAGTGTTCTTCTGATGGCATTTACACTGAATATGGAATAGTTCACCCCCAAAAATGGCTGAAAATGTCCCTTTCAGGCCATCCAAGATGTAGATGAGTTTGTTTCTTCGTCAGGTTTGGAGAAATGTAGCATTGCATCAGTGTCTCAGCAATGGATGCTCTGCAGTGAATGGGTGCCGTCAGAATGAGAGTCCAAACAGCTGATAAAAACATCACAGTAATCCACAGCACTCCAGTCCATCAGTTAAAGACAAAAGCTGTGTGTTTGTAAGAAACAAATCCATCATTAAGACATTTTAACTTTAATTTTAACTTTTGTTTTGGATAGTAAATGATGCTTGATCTGCGCAAATTTCTCTCCTGATTCAGACGAGACAACACATTTTTTTTTTTACTAGAGAAAGTTTTTTTTAGGTTAAAAACGTCTGTATTTGTTTCAGCTTTTGTCTTCACAAGAAGCTGTGTGTTTGTAAGAAACAAATCCATCATTAAGACATTTTAACTTTAATTTTAACTTTTGTTTTGGATAGTAAATGATGCTTGATCTGCGCAAATTTCTCTCCTGATTCAGACGAGACAACACATTTTTTTTTTTACTAGAGAAAGTTTTTTTTAGGTTAAAAATGTCTGTATTTGTTTCAGCTTTTGTCTTCAAAAGACGTTAACTGATGGACTGGAGTGGTGTGGATTACTGTGATGTTTTTATCAGCTGTTTGGACTCTCATTCTGACGGCACCCATTCACTGCAGAGCATCCATCGCTGAGACACTGATGCAATGCTACATTTCTCCAAACCTGATGAAGAAACAAACTCTTCTTGGATGGCCTGAGGGTGAGTAAATTGTCAATTTTGAGTGAACTATTGCTTTAACAATAAGTCGAACATGACTGCTCCTGTGCAATGTGGCTTTATTTGTGGAAGTGGAAGTGTGATGCAAAAACATGGCATGTACAGAAAGAGGAAGTATCTTCTTTTGCCTGTGGTAAGCATCATTTCTGCATGATAATGTGTCGGTTTTGTACCTGTTCCACTATGTGGAGGTTGTAGCAGATGTCGTAAGCGTTACAGGACTGGGTGAAGAGAAGACCTCCACACATCCAACTCAAAGCTAACAGCAGGTCTGTTAAACTCAACAAGAACAACGGCAGCACCTGAAACATAGGGTTGTTTCAGTGGTCAAAAGTAGATTCTTCTTTGAACACGTTATTAATAAATCACAGTAGCTGTATAGATGATGGAGGCTTACCTCTGGTTTTCTTACTAGTCCTTTAAAAATCGCATAAAAGATTATGGAGCCAGCACCTAAGATGCTGAGAGTCAAATCATTAATAAATATATAAGTATAAAAGACATAAACATTGATTAATAGGCCTACGTGTCTCTTTATTAAACGACTGCAACATTAAAGGAAAATGAATGGGTAGATACCTTAGGACGGCCATTGTTATTTGAATCCATCGAACTATAGAGTATATCTAAGAAAAGACAAAGAAGAATAGTTTATTTAATTTGTCTGTGGTTATTATAGGCGTGTAGAACAACGAAACGTAACATTTTTATGAGTTTATGACAAATTACGCGTCTGAAATCAGTGATTCATTAACTTGCTACATAAGAATAAGCGTACTTGCATTGATCATTACTTCTCAAATAACTTTGCGATCATTTTGTCATTTAAAAAGACCATAAAAGAAAATATCCTGTGCACGAGATTCTCTGATAGACATCCCTTACGAAAAAGACGTTTATTCAAGTGTGCTATTAGTGTACTTCTTTTAAACTAAAACATAGGAAAGTATACTTTCAGTCTACTCTTTATGTACTTCTCAGAAATATACTTAAAATGACATTTAAGTATACTTGACTTATACTTAGAAAAAGTCTAAATATATTTATTTGAGCTATAATTGTGCTCCTAGAATCTGTGTTTTCATTGTTATACTGTACGGGGCGCTAGTACACGTCTTCTGTACAGAATTTCCAAAAAACACAAGTGAAGAAGAAACCGAAACAACAGACGCTTCCACGTGTAATCTAACACGATCATCAGACATAAAACAGCATCAAAACTGTGTAACGTTACGGAATAAAATGTCGACCAATGAAGACGTAATAATGTCTGTCAAGCTTTGGGGTGTTGATCGACTCCATCTACGTTTTGATTATCATTAAAAGAATGCATGAAGCTAGAATAAAATGTTTTTGTTTACAAGCAGATACCCCGTTCTTTCTTTTGATGTTTGCATGTTCAGATATTCATTTAACAAAATATATACAAATTAATACCTAAATAGGGACATAGTAGTATACTTAAAGTATGACGTAAAGTTCACTTAAAGAAAACGTACGAGTATACTTGCGGTATAAAACTACTAAACTAGTAGTTTACTTCAAAGTGTACTAAAAATGCAACTACAAGTATTTAATTAGTAAACTATCAGTATACCTATAAGTTCACTTTTAGTATAGTTGCAGTACACGCTAAAAATATTGTTGTGTTCTTAAAGTCTACTACTGTTATACTTAAAAGTATACTTTTATATACTAGAAAGTGGGCCAATTTAGTCCCAAAGAGTATTGAAATAGTACACTTACAAGTATACTACTAGTACACTGATATATGTATACTTACTACATATAGTACACTTGAACTTTACTTAAGTATACTTACTCAAATAAACTTGAAGTATACTACTTTTTGGTAAGGGATGCGCTAGTTGTAGTGAAAAGTTGTAAAATTACTCACAGATGTCCAGTTTTCAGTCGGAATGGTGGTGTTTGCCTGTGACTTATTTTGTCCAAAAATGTCCATTTTGTAATAAATAGCCTACTTATTGATCAATTTAAATTATATTCCTCTCGAAATCTGTCCTTATGTAACAACAGCAAACAGGCTAAGTTGTAACAAATCTATAATTGCTTCCAGGACATGCCAAAATGATAATAATTTATTCGGGAGACACTGGAGCAACAAAATGTGCTTTCGAATGCCAGTACTGTAAATAATAACCAGCGCGCCCCGCCCACTTTATCACAAAGCGCTTTTGATTGGCTACGACCCGCTGGCGTCACACATGCGTCAGGTTTCAATGTATCCTCGGCGCTCAAAGCCACCGCGTGCTTCTTCTTCACTAGGCATGACAGCATGCTGCATTCTTTAGACTTTCTGTGTTAGCAAGGACGTCCTGCCTTGTGTTTGTCAAACTATGCGTGACAATGCTGTCCTAGCGATGACAGTCAGCACGCTTCATATGTTTTTAGGCTGTGTTTGAACACATCAGGCAATATTTAGTCAAAAACTGAAGCTAACGCGTTATTTTCTTAGTTATATATTAGTTACTCCTATTAGTTTAGTGGGTCCTTTTATAATTGTACTCTGAAACGTACTAATCATTTATGCTTGCCATGAGTCATTAATAGTACTGTAACCTCTATAGAAGTTGATGGTGATATAGATATAGATATGATCTTTCATGCAGCTGGAAAGCACAAGTATGACAGACAGAGGTGAAAGGTGCTCCGCCACAATAGTCAGCTTTCAGCATTTGGTTTTCAATTGCACGTGCATACACTATCGTTCAAAAGTTTTAATACATTTACTCAACAAGGATGCATTAAATTGATCAGTGAAGACATTTATAATGTTACAAAAGACTTCTATTTCAAACAAATGCTGATCTTTTGAACATTCTATTCATCAAAGAACCCCGAAGAATCAAATGCATCACCGTTTCCGCAAAAATATCAAGCAGCACAACTGTTTTCAACATGGATGATAATCAGAAATGTTTCTTGGGCAGCAAATATTATACTGATTTCTGAAGATCATGTGACACTGAAGACTGGAGGAATGATGCTGAAAATACAGAAAAATAAATGACATTTTAAAACATATTCACATAGAAAACAGTTATTTTAAATTGTTAAAATATTTAACATTATTACTGTACTTTTGATCAAATAAATGCCAGTAAAAACATTAAAAAATCTTACTGACCTCAGTCTGCTGTATACACTCAGTCCCTTGCAAACTACTAACTCTTTTGTTTGAGTAATGGCTTCTTTTGTGTTTGATATGGTTGACTGCAATACATATTTTTCTCAGTTCGTGAACTCCGGTTGCCTCTCTCACGGCTTAAAGGAATAATTCACCCAGAAATTAAAATGTGCTGAAAATGTTCACCCTGCCAGGCCATCCAAAACGAGGAAGAGTTTGTGTCTTCAGCAACAAGTTCATTATTAAGATGTTTTTAACTTCAAACTGTTGCTTCCAGCTAAAATACAAATCCATTCTCCATAATATTGCGTTGTCCAGTGAAAAAGTCGTCTTGTCTGAATCAGGAGAGAAATCTGCACAGAGTACCGTTTACAGACAACAAGAGGGTGGACTTTTTCACTGAAGGAAGTGTTATTATGGATTATGGATACCGTATTTTAGCTGGAAGCAATGAAGTTAAAAACGTCTTGATGGAATTGTTTCTTACAAACACACAGCTTCTGTCTTTAACTGATGCACTGGAGTGGTGTGGATTATTGTGATGTTTTTATCAGCTGTTTGGACTCATTCTGACGGCACCCATTCACTCCATTGGTGAGCAAGTGATGCAATGCCAAATTTCTCCAAATCTGATGAAGAAACAAATCCATCTTTGATAGCCCGATGGAGTACATTTTCAGGATTTTTTTTATTTTGGGGTGAACCATTCCTTTCCTGGAGACTCTATCTAGTATCTGTGTGATCTGATGCATCATCCCTTCCAGATAAATGATCCAGATGTACTCTGGAGATCAACCAGACCGCAGGGTTTATCCAGAAAACCTGTGTTTGGAGGAAACGTAGAGATCGAGTCTTTGTATTTCAGTTCTTTTTTTTCACTTTATTATTTATTTTGATTGATTTTCAGTATATTTTCTTTCAGTATACAATCGGAATCCAGAAAACCTGTGTTTGGAGGAAACGTAGAGATCGAGTCTTTGTATTTCAGTTCTTTTTTTTCACTTTATTATTTATTTTGATTGATTTTCATTGAAATACAGTATCAAAATGTGCATATCTTAAAATAACTAACTAAATAATACTACGGATAACGGTGTTATAGACAGCTGTTTATTTGGCCTCTAGCAGTGGGGCATTATCGTGATGTTTCGAATTGAAAACAGATGAGTATGTATGAAATAGCAATATAAAACCCCCTTTTCTCTCTTCCCTTTTCAGTTTCCACTGAAATAAGTGTCACGATACACAGCTTAACCTAGTGTCGCATACAAGCATAACGGCAATATCTGGGAGCTGGAAGAAGCAGTATGAAAAACAAAATGAAATGCATTGGATGGCCAGTCCTTACTATTTCTGGTATCACTATTTGAAGATTTGCAATGAAACACATATTAAAAAATCTTGACCTATTGTGAGGTCAGTTATATTTGAATGTAAAATTTGATATGGAATGATACATGATCTTTTAGCACCTCAAAACAATGCAAAAGAGTTATATAACTTTCATTGAATAACTTTCATTTGTGTGTGTGTGTGTGTGTGTGTGTGTGTGTGTGTGTGAATGTGCACGTTTTTGTGACAAATGAGGACATACATTTGTATAATGACAAAGGTATAACATAGGTATTACAAGGAGAAGGTGACTTTTCAGGACATTACCCCATGTCCCCACTTTTCAAAACGCTTATAAATCACACAGAATGGAGTGTATTGAAAATCTGAAATAGCAGAATTTAGGGGTAGGGTTGGTGTAGGGCAATAGAATATACGGTCTGTACAGTATAAAAACCATTACGCCTATGGAGAGTCCCCACTTTTCACAAAAACAAACCTGTGTGTGTGTGTGTGTGTGTGTGTGTGTGTG